TTACCCAACCTACCTGAAATACTGTCTTTTAACGTGGATCTGGTTTGGGTCCATTTTGGGTCTGTGTGTCCCATGGGTGTGTCTGGATGCCTATGTTTCTAGTAAGCCTTGACATCAAGTAGTGTAAGTCCTTTAATTGCTGGTGATTCTCTATCCTTGTTTTTCATTATGTCTTAGCATCACTTTGCTCTGAAGAAGCTGCCAGGGTTTGATTGGGATTCAGTTGAAACAGTCAATTTGGGTGGGATGGAGCTCTCTCCATTTCTTAGGTATTCTTTGATATCTTTCATAAGTAGTCTTTAGTTTTAGTGTACAATCCATCATGTTTTGTTAGAATTATACTTATGTCAATTCACTTTTTTAAAACACATCAATTTGCTGGGCATGGTGGCATATACTTCTAATTCCGGCACTCTGGAGGCAGAGGCAGGCAGATCTCTGAGTTCCAGGCCAGCTGGGGCTATAGGGAAACCCTGTCTCAAAAAATGTATACCGGGGCTGGAGAGATGGCTCAGCAGTTAAGAGCACTGACTGCTCTTGCAGAGAACCCGGTTCAATTCCCAGCACCCACATGGCGTCTACGAACCGTCCTAACTAACTCCAGTTCCACGGGAATCTGAAGCCCTCTTCTGACCTCCGCGGCATTGCACAACATGGGTACACTCACATACATGCAGGCAATATACTCATACACATAAAGTTAAAATTAAAATAATAAAATATTTTTTTAAAAATGTGTATCAATTTAGCCAATTACTAGCGTGTAAAAGTACATTGATATTTGTGCATTGATCTTGTGTCTGTAACCTTACTCATTTACTCTAGGATCTTTTTTAGAGATTTTTTTCTTTTTAATATTTTATTTATATATGTGTATGAGTGTAATGCCTGCATGTGTATAAGTGCACTCGTGCTGTGCAGTGTCCTCGGAGGTCAGAAGAGGGTGTCAGATCCCCTGGAACTGGAGTTAGGGACGGTTGTTAGTCACCATATGGGTGCTGGGAATCGAACCTGGGTCCTCTGCAAGGGCAGAGCCATCTCTTAACCACTAAGCCATCTCTGAAATTTTCCATATAGACAGAAATAGATTTACTTCTTCCTTTCCAGTTTATAAGCCTCTTGTTGCTCTGTTATGCTGGGTGGGAATTCCAACAGGAAGTTGGCTAGAAATAGTGGAGTGGAGTCCTTGCTTGTCTCCCATCGTAAGAGGAAACCATTCAGTATTTCCTCTTTTTTTTTTTTTTCCCCAGTATTTCCTCTTTAAGTCTGATGCAGATGCTGGCACTGAGGATTTGTTTTGCTTTGTTTTGTTGTGTAGATGCCATTGTACCTAGTCAAAAAAGTTCTCCTCAGTACCTAGCTTGTGAGATTTTATCATGACGTGATAGTGAAGGTTTTAAAATGTTGACATAATAATACTTCTTCTTCTTCTTTAGTTTGCTGTTTGATTGATTTTTTTTTTTTTTTTTTTTTTTGTCTTTTTGAGAGAGGGTCTCCCTGTAGCCCCAGCTGGCCTGGAACTCACTGTGTAGACCAGGCTAGCCTTGAACTCACAGAGATCTGCCTGCCTCTGCCTCCCAAGTGCTGGTATTAAAGGCATGCACCACCGCACTCAGCTCTTTTTTGTGAGAGCTTAATGCTCTAACGCACTGATTTAGCTTTATGCACACATTTTTTAAAAATTTATTTTTATTTTTATGTGTTTGGGTATATTACCTTCATGAATGTGAGTGCACCTGTGTCATGCAATGCCCATGGAGGTCAGAAGAGGGCATCAGATCCCTTAGAACTGGAGTTACAGATGGTTGTTAGCTGCCATGTGGGTGCTGGGAATTGAACCCCAGTCCTGTGCAAGAGGAGCCAGTGCTCTTAACCACTGAGCCATCCTCCAGCCCGCACTGATTCAGCTTTGTCTCACAAATTTTGATAGGTTGTATTTTCATTTTTTATTCAGGTCAAATTATTTTCTAATAAACCCAACAGAATAACTTTTTCTCTGACCCATGAGTTATTTAGAATTTTGTTGTTAATATATTTTTTTAAAATTTTAGACTCCTTTTACAGTTCAGGACTGTTAGTCAGTAGTCCATGTGTGCCCTAAAAGGCTATATATTCTATGTGTCAGGCAGAATGCTATATTAGCATCAGGTTGGTTGAGTTGATTGACGGTGTTATTCAGGTCTCCTGTAGGCTTTCTAATTTCCATCTACTTGTTTTCTTCCACTAAGAAAGAAATGTTAATGTTTTCAGCACCACCACGCCTGGCTTGCCTGTATTTTTAATTAGTAGACACCACACCCACTCCAACTTGTGTTTTGAAACAGAGTTTCTCCATGGGACCTGGGGCTCACCAATGAGACTAGCCTGGCTGGACAGTGAGCCCTAGGGATTCACCTGTCTCTTTCACACCCTCATCCCTCAGAATTAGGATCACAAGCGTGTATCACCACACCCTGCTTTTTTTTTTTTTTTTTTTTTTTAAATCAAACTTAGGTCCTAATGCTTGCTTGGCAAATACTTTACTAACTGAGCTATCTCCCCAGAACCCCATTTCTCAGCTCTACAGTTTTGGTTTTGTGTCTGAAGATTTTTTGCTGTTTAGAATTGTTGTGTTTTGCCAGACATAGCGATGCACTCCTGAAATCCCAGCTACTTGAGAGGTTGAGGCCAGCCTAGGCAATTAGTAAGACCCTGTCTCAAATAAAACTTAATGTAAAGCCGCACGTGGTGGCGTACGCCTTTAATCCCAACACTCGGGAGGCAGAGGCAGGCAGATCTCTGTGAGTTCGAGGCCAGCCTGGTCTCCAATAGCGAATCCAGGCCAGCTAGGGCTACAGGGAGACCCTGTCTCAAAGAGACCAGAAAAAAAAAAGTTAATGTGAAAAGGGTTGGGGTTGTAGCCCAATGGTAAAGTGTTTGCTTGGCAAAAGGCCTTAGATTTAATCCCTAGTACCATCAGAAAACAAATGTTGTAATGTCTTGTCATTCTGTAATGTCTGTTTTGTTCCTATTAATATGTTGATTCTGAAGTCCAATATGTGTGGTATAAATCTAGCCTGTCTCGCTCTCTTTTGACTGGTGTTCACAAAGAATATATTTTTCAAAGCTGGAAAGATGACTCAGCTGTTAAAAGCACTTGCTGCTTTTGCAGAGGACTTCAGTACCCACATCAGGCAACTCATAACTGCCTGAAACTCTAACTTCGTGGGATCTAATGCCCTGTTGTGGCCTCCATGCACACTCGTGCACATACCCACACACAGAGACACAAATATATGTGATTTAAGAAATGAAGTAAATCTTTTGGGGGCTGGAGAGATGGCTCAGCGGTAAAGAACACTGGCTGTCCTTGCAGAAGACCTGGGTTCAAATCCCAGCACCCACATGGCAGCTAACAACTGTCTGTAACTCCAGTTCCAGGGGATCTTCTAGCCTCTTCTGTCCTCTGTGGGCATTGCAGGATACGGGTGAACAGCTTACCTACATGCAGGCAATACACTCATACACATAAAAGAAAAATAACAAATATTTTTTAAAAAAAGAAATTAAGTAAATTTTTTTTTTTTTGTCTTCCTGAGACAGGGTCTCTCTGGAGCCCCTGCTGGCCTTGATCTCTTAGAGACACTCCTGCGTCTGCCCCCTGAGTGCTGGGATTAAAGGTGTGTGCCACCATACCTGTCCTTGTGTAATTATGTTTAGTGGTTGCTCTTGGTCATATACTATAATATACACACTTTGTCCGTTAGTACTCATTTAGAATGTATATTGTAATGCCTCAATTAAGTTGTAGAGGCCTTACAACCATATAAATTTGTGTTTTAATAAGCAGCCATCCTGTTAGCGTCGTATAAGACAAAATTTGCCTTCTGTGGGTGGCAGCTTAGTTTCCAGTCTTTGCTATAGTGCTTTGGATCTGTCTCAGCGGTTAGCACATGGTTGAATCTGCCATTTGTGGGGGTATACCAGAAATAAGGATTGTCCCTTTCTTGTGTTTTTCTCTTTGGGATTCATCCCACATTTTCTGGCCTGCTAGGTCTCATTTCTTGGTTTTCTGCTAGAAACATGAGGTTTCTTTTGAAGTCGCAGCTGCCTTTTCCATTGTACCACTGTGTGGGCCCAGGGCTTCTGCAGTGCTGGGAAAGGGTAAAAAGGGCCATTCTCTCCCTGTAATGGCATCATCTCAAGCAGATTGGGGTCTACACTCTTCCAACATGGCAGCCCCAGGGAAAAGAACAGCTTCCCCCCAGTATTTCAGCATCTGTCTTGACATTTACCAGCCCCACAAGGGTCGTGTGTTCTTGGAACGGATCCCCGTGGCCAGGGATGTGGAATATGATGCTTGACCTGCTGTATCTTGTGCCAGCCTAGAGCCCAGTGGGGCTGGAGGGCATCCCTCCACCTGCACGTTGGGCACTGCAGCACCTCAGTGCTCCCACAGACCCAGAAACATCAGAGGCATTTTGAAATTGATATTCTAGAGACTTTGGTAGCATTCTTTGAGGTTAATATTTCATGGGTTAAGAGTGATTAAGAAAAACTCTTTCTTTTCTTTTTTTTTTTTTTTGTCTGAGACAGGGTCTCCCTGTAGCCCCAGCTGAGCTGTCCTGGAACTCACTATGTAGCCCAGGCTGGCCTTGAACTTGCAGAGATCTGCCTGCCTCTGCTTTCCAAGTGCTGGGATTAAAGGCATGGGACATCATATCTGGCAAAAAAAACTGTCTTTTCAGAGAGCTTTGGAGAGGGGCTGGGGGAGAGTAATTTTTAAAAGGCTGAGGAACATTCCCCTGCAGAAATCTGTGGCTGAAAGAGATTAGAAAACAAGCTGAGGACGGCTTGGGATGACCAGCAGCAGAGAGGTAGGGCCAGGGCTTGGCAGGGAACACTGCCTGGAAAATGGCCTCTCGTGTGCTCTCCCTAGCCCAGGACCCTGGGGTAGCAGACTCACAGTTTAACCACAGGAAGGCCACGGTGCAAGTTGCCCTCTGCCATCTCTACTGCAGGTGAAGAGCGAGGTTGAGAAACTCCCCCGGCAGCAGCGAAAGGAGAGTCTGAAGCAGAAGATGGAGGCGCACTCGCAGAAAAAGCAGCTTCTTGTGAGTCCTCAACCCCTAGCCATGGAGTGGGTACAGCACTGGAAATCTGCAGTGGCCAGGACCCTCCCAGATACCAGGCCTGCTGCTTGAATGTCCATCTCATTTTGAATGCTTACCTCTAGCCCATCTTTCGTGGCCCCGATGGTCACCTTCAGTGGGCAGTCGCCCCTCATTGCCCTCACTCCCACTGGAGGGAAGCTTTCCCATTTCGGACCACTGCAGCCCAAGCCCTCAGCCCTGCCAGCCTCATCTCAAGGTTATTTGTATGCCACATCTATCAACCCAGAATAGCTACCTGCCTACTTATATGTCATTTGGAATCTAAAAGCCATTGAAATCTTGGGGCATCAGAGATGGCTCAGCTGTTAAGAGCACTGTTGCAGAGGACCCAGATTAAGTTCCCAGCACCCACATGGTAGCTCACAACTGTCTGTAATTCCAGTTCTGGGGGATCCATCGCCCTCTTCTGACCTTTGTGGGCACTGCACACACATGGTGCACAGGCATACATGCAGGCACTCATATGTACACAAAATTTTTTTTTAAGGTGCTAGAGAGATGACTCAGTGTTTAAGAGCACTGGTTGCTCTTGCAGAAGATCCAGGTTTGGTTCCCAGCACCCACATGGCAGCTAACAACAGTCCTTAACTACAGTTCCAGGGGATCTAACACTCTATTCTGGCCTCTGCAGGCACTGCATGACATGGGTGCCCTTATATACATGCAAGCAAACACTCATACACATAGTTTTTTTCATCCATCAAAGTCTTGATCTCCCAGACCTGGCTCTGCTCTTATGGGCTCTGGAGGCTTCTTCCTCCTTCCTGTTGACAGGCCAGAAATATTGTCATTCCTGACCCCTCCTTTCGCCCAATCCACATCACCTCCTTAAGCACGCCATGTACTCCATCTATGTTTCTCCAGTCTTCAGCTCCATCAATCTGGCATCATCGCTGCCAGTTGGGGTATGAGGCCCCAACTTTGTTGCAATCTTTCCCAGCCATTCTCCTCAATTCCTCTGGTTTCCCTGATGTTTGTTCTCTCATACCAGCAGGTGTTTTTGATATGAAATATAAATCTGGCCCTGTCGTCACTGCTTCCCCCAGCTCTGGGCCTTAACACACTTCAGCACCCTCCCTTTGTCCGTGGGTGAGGCTCACCTCCTCACTGTGCCTGCCGCTGCCTGGAACCTTTGGGCCTCTCCCAGACCAGCCCAGACACTCAGCCCAGCCTCACCAGCCTGCCTTTCATCCCTGTTTTCTCCACTGTAGTCTTTGTACATTCTGCCTCCTAGGTCTCGGGTGCAGGCAGTGTTAGTCCACTTTTACAGTTGTTGGCCTATGATCTGGTCCAGCATTTGTGGTACCTTGGGGTGGAAGCTGTTCGGTTTTTTTTGTAGAAGAAATCAAGGCTTGGAAAGGGGACACTGTAGAACTGATGGCAGTGGGGAAGGCCCCGAGCTTGGTCTGACTCCAGACTTCTGGTTCTCGCCAGTGCACCGTACAACCTGTCTCTTGCCTCTGGGTGAGGTTAGCCATTAGTAGGAAGAAGAGATTCTTAATGTTCTTTGGCACAGAAGAGTGACCATGCCCAATAATAACGTGTGGTATACTTCAACATAGCAAGAAGAGGGAAAATGTTCTACACCAAAGAAATAGAAATGTTTGAGGTGAATTACCCGAACCTGATCAGCACAAGAGGCACACGTGCTGAAATGGCATACTGCGACCCATGCATCTATGCAGTTATTACGTGCAAAAACACAGGACTGGCATGCATGCACACACACAAACAATAAATAAATGGATAGATAAAATGCAATTTTTTAAAAAGCTTTAAGAAAAGGGAGAGATGACTGAGCTATTAAGAGCATTTGCTGCACTTGCAGAGGACATGAGTTCAGTTCTCAGCACCAAGATCAGGTGGCTCACAACTGGCTGTAACTGCAGTTTCAGGGGATCTAATGCCTTCTTCTGGCCTCCACAGACACCACCATGCATGTGGTACACAAACATACATGCAGGCACACATACATACACATAAAATAAAAAATAAATTGAAAAAACACACAGAACTGGTGAGGTAGGCAGGTAGGCCCTTATCCTCAGAGAGAGAATGGGGCAGGGGAGAGGAGTCACTCAAGCCAACTCTGCATAAAGCCTTGTCGTCCTTCCCTACAGGACCGGGACTTTGTAGCCAAGCAGAAGGAGGACCTGGAGCTGGCCATGAAGAGACTCACCACGGAAAACAGGCGGGAAATCTGTGACAAGGAGCGAGAGTGCCTCAGCAAGAAGCAGGAGCTCCTTCGAGGTGGGGCCCAGAGTCACCCTCCAGTCACCCTGGCTGGTGAAACTAGAGCCTCCCCCCCCCCCATGAAGTCAGGAATGAGGCAAGGATACCAGTCACCGCCCATACTATTTGGTGTCATTCTAGAAGCCAAATGGAAAAGAGGAAGGAAGAGACAGACTGTAGATGTGCAGGCCGGTTGGCGGGAGGGGGAAAGAGTCCTGAAGGAGCCAGCAGGGGAAGCAGCAGCTTGTGTGAGCACTTTGCCATCCCTCTAATCAGTTTTCACACCTTGGTCTCATGTAGTTTTCACTCTCCCCTATGAGACGGGTTGGACCACTATTCTTTTTTTTATAGATGAGGAGAGTTACAGTGTGTCTTGGTCTGTGCACTGCTCTGAGTTCTACAGACAAGGTGGCTTAGAGACCACAGGAAGGAGGCAAGGAAGCCCAAGGTCAAGGCGGTAGTAGACCTGCTGTCCGCAGAGGACCTGCTTCCTCATTGATGGACTTCTCACCCTCCATGGAACTCCATCAAAGCCCTTCTTGTTTGTCCACAGGAGGGGTGCTGTGTAGACTGTCCTTAAGAATTCTTCCAAGGACATTTCCTCCTTAGGCTCTTTGTGCTCTTTGGCAGAGGCAGAAGCTGAGGCCTAGAGAGGTTTTCTGCTGCATCCCAATTCCAGACGCAGCTCTGGTCTCCCTGCTGGCTGTCTTAGAGCAGCCATGAGGCTGAGACTTGCCATCTCTTAGACTTTAAGGATGTTTCTGGGGCTTGGCTCAGATCAGCCAGCGTAGTCCAATGAGGTAGCCCACGTGCCCATTCCCCCGAGCCAGCAAGTTGGTTATCAGTTACAGCATCAAGAGGCCTGGCTGAGGGGAGGGGATGGGAGACCTGTCACTCTCCAGCCTTGTCCACTCCTCACTGGGAGGTGCTGTGTCCTTGTAGACCGGGAGGCAGCCCTGTGGGAGATGGAGGAGCGCCAGCTGCAGGAGCAGCACCAGCTGGTGAAGCAGCAGCTCAAGGATCAGTACTTCCTGCAGCGACATGAGCTGCTTCGGAAGCACGAGAAGGTGAGGCAGGGGCAGGGCACAGGGCAGCCAGATGCTGTAAGCGACAGTGATAGTACGCCTCCCAGGAGGGGCCGCTCTGCCACAGTGAAGCCCCAGGAAGTTCTCTGGGATGTTCTGCTCCTTTGTGAGGGGCCAGGAGTCAGGGAGTCCCTGCAGGGGAGCAGATGGTGAGCACATGGTTCAGGCAGCTCCCTCACTGACCACCATACCTCTCATTTTCCCTTTTTTTAAAACCTCCTTTTCTCTCCCCCCACTCCCTTCTTCTCCGATACATTCCCTCAAAATTCTTTTGTTCTCCTCTCTGCCAGAAAGTCTTCCCTAAGTTCCCCTGCCTTGTGAGGACCTTTACCCTGTGTGGCCTTAGCCGTCCCCATCTGTCCATTCAGTCCCCACAGTGGGGACAGTGACAGATAAGCCAAGGTCCAGATGCACAGCAGCTGTGGGTAATTTTGACTCCTTATCTAAATGTAAAGATGGATGTCAGTGTAGGGTCAGGAGATCTTAGGATAAAGGTGTCCAACCCCACTAGCAAGCCAGGGAGGCTTCTAGAAGGAGGCAGCCCATAGAGTTTTACAATACAAATAGATGTTAGAAAAAAGGCGTAAATTCAACTTTATTAAGGTTTCTAGAAATAGGAATCACCATGTGCCCTCAGTAAGAGTAAGCCATCCCCTCTTGTCTTTATGTATATTCTCTTTTGAGGTCTTAACTGGCTATTGTTTGTCAGTACCAGGTAGATGAGACAGTATTAAGAGGGAAATCAGCCAGGTATGGTGGCAAATGCCTGTAATCCCAGCACTCCAGAGGTGGAAGCGGAGATTCAGGAGTTAAAGATCATCTAGCCAGTTCAGGGCCACTCCTGTCTACTTGAGACCTTGAAAGAAAAAAAAAGATAATAATCAAAATTTATTACCAATATAGATTCTCCTTGACTTGGTGGGGGGATTTCTATTCCCATAAAACCATGCTAAGATGAAAACTTAGGTTAAAAATGCAAGTTAGTCACCTGCCTGTGCAAGCCTCCTCACTTAGTAACAGAGCCCTGTAGTAGCCCAGTGTAGGGTAGTTTCCCTAGTGTGCTGCAGCCACTGCCCAGTAGCCAGAGACTGTGTTAGCCCAGGAAGAGATCAAAATTCAAAGTAGGGTTTCTGCTGAACATACATTGTTTTCACACTACTGTAAAGCCAGAAGATGTGAAGCAAACCACAGATAGTCTATAATTTTTAGACTAGAAAACAGGGCTGGCAAGATGACTATGGGTAAGGACCCATGCCACAAAGCCTGATGACCTGAGTTCAATCCCTGCAACCCACATGGTGGAAGGAGAGAATCAACTCCCACAAGTTGTCTTCTGAGCTTCATCACAGACACAGACACACACACAATAAATGTAAAAAAAAAATTAAATTACAGAAAACGTTATCGAACAGTAGAAGTGAACTAACAGCCGTGCTGTGCTGGCATCTGGGCTCCTGTGTTGAGTATTGATAGCCTTGGGCCCCTGACCATGCCTAGAGCTCCCCTGACTTCTGCCTGGTTACCCCCAGGAACGAGAACAGATGCAGCGCTACAACCAGCGCATGATGGAGCAGCTGAAGGTCAGGCAGCAGCAGGAGAAGGCTCGGCTGCCCAAGATCCAGAGGAGTGATGGCAAGACGCGCATGGCCATGTACAAGAAGAGCCTACACATAAACGGTGCAGGCAGTCCGGCTGAGCAGCGTGAGAAGATCAAGCAGGTGGGTGTGGGGTGCAGGACAGGATGGAGGTGCTTTGGCAGGGCCTGGACCTTGTACAGCATGGGGGAATGTCAAATATTGGATATCTCACAGGGTCTTGGGAGTGGGTGTGCAAGTCACAGTCATGGTTTGGAAGCTTGTTCGCCCAGGAGAATCCACCTCTGTGGACAGAGTCCTTGTGTGGTAGTTTGTCACCTGCTGGTCCCGTTCATTCCTCCATGTGTTTCATGGACAGCCTCCTCTGTTCTCCTCCACTAAGACCCCCTTTCATGTCTCAAATCACGTGGGCCCCTGTGATTCTTGTGTGCACTGTCCTAGTGCGTGTTAGGTCACCATGTTTGTGAGGACAGGCTTGGTCTCCACTTGGAGCAAGGTTTACCACAGAGGGACTACAGTTTGAGGTGGGCTGGGCTCTGAGCTGTCCAGTTCCCAGAATGGGCCTTGTAGGCTCAGGCTGAGACAGACAGGCCCCCACCCAGCCAGGCAGGTGCCGCTCACAGTACCATCCTCCCTCTGCAGTTTTCCCAGCAGGAGGAGAAGAGGCAGAAGGCAGAGCGGCTGCAACAGCAGCAGAAACACGAGAACCAGATGCGGGACATGGTGGCGCAGTGCGAGAGCAACATGAGCGAGCTGCAGCAGCTGCAGGTACTGCCCCTCCCCATCTCAGTTTCCCCAAGGCAGTCAGTGCTCTGAGGCCAGAGGCTGCACAACTGGGAAAAATCCAGGTCCAACAAGCCCAGGGGGACCGGTTCCAGCCTGCCGTGCTGCTGTAGGGCTGGATGACACTGGGGAAATCACAGCACTCTCCTAGCCATACTGTCTACATCTTTGAAATGGCTGTGGGATCGTGGGGTGGAGGGTGGCTCTGCTTGGCAAGATGGGTGTGTGGATTTGTGATGGAGCTCAGGGTACCTTGCCCAGGGCCTGGCAACGACTCTGCTGCTGGGTTTCACATTCACCTCTGTCTTTGCTTCTGTTAAAACCCCAGCTTCTTCAACTGGCCCTGCTTCTGGTTTGGGCCCATGTCTAAGGATTGTCAACAAGCCAGGTGTTTCCCCATTAGAACCTCCTGTGCTGGTGCCCTTAACACACAAGGGACCAGTTTCCAGGAACTGGTACTTAGAGCCCCCTTGTGGTGGAGTGAAGCATTGCTGCACCTGAGGGATGGAGCAGACTCCAGCCTCTGTGGACTTCAGGCCATTGGGATATGGCAATTTCTGGAGAGGCATGGAAGCATGGAGGAAATGGCCAGAACTGGAGGCTGCCAGGCAGGGGCTCTGCCATCTGCCACCATGTGGGGGTGGTTAGTCAACCCACTTGTGCTCCTACTTCATGGCGTTATGTGAGGACTGAGAGACCCATACAAAGTGACATGCACATCACATCACACCACACCACACCACACCACACCACACCACATCACATCACATCACATCACAGGAAGACAGTGCTGCTCTGACCAGACCAATTCCCAGGCTCTCAGAAGCTTTCATCTTGAAGGCCCAAATAAAAAGCCCCTGAGAAGCTCTGATTTCACCCTGTGAGCTCTCTGGATAGAGGCCGTGTCTCTGCCTGAGCAGCTCCTATAACAGGACTGAGTCCTTACAGGGAGTCACAGGAACCTGCCACTTGTGTCTACCACAGAGATTTGTAAAGCAGGTGATTTACTTCAGAGAGCACAATAGAGATTGGGAGAGTCGTGGCCATATCCCTGGCCTTGTTCCTTGTCCAGAAATCTCTCCTGAAGTGATATGAGGCAAGAGGTTAGATATAAATTATGTGTGTTATATAATATGTAATTAGGTATAATGCACAATTATATATGTAATTTCTGTAGGTAAGTAATTATATACCCAGATTTAAGTCTGCTTGGGCTGTCATTAAAAAAAAATAACTGTTGGGGCTGGAGTGATGGCTCAGCAGTTAAGAACACTGGTTGTTCTCGCGGAAGACTCAGGTTCGAATCCCAGCACCCACATGGCAGCTAACAACTGTCCTAACTCCAGTCCCAGGGGATCTGACAGCCTCTTCTGACCTCCGCAGGCATTGCATGACACAGGTGCACTTACCTACATGCAGACAATACATGAATACACATAAAATTTTAAAAAATACTGTAGCTGGGCACAGTGATGCACAGCTATACAGCTGTAGTCCCAACTCCTTGAAAGGGAACAGCAGGAGGGTGGCTGAGCCCAGGAGGTGCAGGCTGTGCTGGGCTGTGCCAGTAGTTGTCTCTACTTGGCATTAGTGGTGGGATCTCACCTGGGAATTGCCAGTGCATTCTAGCCTGGGCATCTTTCTTGCTTCTTTTCTGTCCTCTCTCCCTCCTTCCTTCCATCGCTTCCTTTCTTTCTTTTCTTTTTTTTTTTTTTGGAGGTCTAGCCTTGAACTTCTAATCCTCCTATCTCTACTTCCCAAGTGTTGGATTTACAGGTATGCACCACCATGCCATGATTTTTTTATGTGGTGACAGGGATTGAACCCAGACTCTTGTACATGCTAAGCAAGCACCCTACCAACTGAGCTATGCCCCCCAACCCTCTTTTTTCTTTTTAGATGAAGCCTTACATTTTTCCGGTTATCTTCCTGCCTCTGCAGACTGAGTGCTAGGATTACAGGTGTTCTCTAACACACAGATGAGATTATGTTATCTCTGGAAAGGAGAGGGAGGGAGGGAGGGAGAACATGGACTGTGTAGTTTAACAACAGAAGTCTGCTTTCTCACAGTTCTGAGGACTGGGGTCTGGCCAGGTGTCCACATGCCCAGCTTTGGGGGAGGACTGTCTTGTCACACAGTTTCACTTTGTCCTCAAATGCTACAGAGCATTGGGATTAATGCAGACAAACTTTCTGGTCACGATGTCATCATGGAGGCCCCACCCTCATGACATTACATCCCAAAGGCCTTCTCTCCAGACACTTGGGGGTTAGAGCTTCAACATGAATTTGGGGGGACATTCAGTCTGAAACAGATGTTTAGCATAGTAGCATTTTTACTAGTGAAAGTTGGAAGCAGCTTAAGTGGCTAAACACAGAGAAATGTTCAATAAGTAGATATCATGAGGTAATCTGTAGACATAGAAATGATTATCAACAACACCAATACTTTTTTTAGAAATGTTCATTAAGCACTGAGAGGGAGAGGTTTCAGAATTTTTTTGTATAGAACTGGTAAGTCAGCAGCATATGGCTAGGTATGGTGGTGCAGGCCTGTAATCCAAACCCTCTGGAGACTGAGGCAGGAGGATTACAAGTTCACCGGCCTGGGTTACATAGTGAGATCCTGCCTCAAAAAACAAAACCAACAACACAGGAAAGAACTGGACAGAAAGGATAGTTACATGTTGCTGGTGGGATCAGGGTACATGCTGTGTGTGTGGGGGGTGGATGCAGGCAGGTATGTGTCTGGCACACATGTGGAGGTCAGAGAACAGCTTCTGGGAGCCAGTTCTTTCCTTCCACCATGGGTTCTGGGAATTGAACTCAGGTTATCAGGCTTGCAAGGCAAGAACTTTACCTCCTAGGTCATCTCACCAGCCTAAGACATTTTTAAAACTCAGACAATGTCAAAAGCACACAGAAGGGCAGGCAAGATGGCTCAATGGGTAAAGCGCTTGCTGCACAAGCCTGACAACCAGAGTTCGATCCCTGGAACCCCTGTAAAGGTGGAAGGAGAGGACCAACTCCACAGAGTTGTCTTCTGACCTCCACATATGTGCTATGGCATGTGTGCCCACACATGTACACATCACACACACAATAAAAATAACTTTTTAAAAAGAACACAGGATCAGTGGTTAAGAACACTGACTGCTCTTGCAGAAGACCCAGGTTCAATTCCCAGCACCCACATGGTGGCTAATAACTTTCCATAACTCTAGTTCCAGGGAATCCAACACCCTCTTCTGACCTCCATGGACATTACACTACACATGTGCACTTACACACATGCAGGTAACACACTCCCATACATAAAATAAAAATAATAAATAAAACATTGAAAAAAAAAGCACACAGAAGAAAGTTCCAAAGTTACTGCAAACTTCCCCACTCAGAAGTATTATCATTAGTATTCTGGAATAACCAGGCATTGCTCGGTGCACGTGTATTTCCACATACAGAGTTGTGAATAAGCTGGGTTTGTGATCAAGCAAAGGCATAATAAACCCACGATGGTGGTGCCCTTGGGCTGCAGCGGGTCTGTCCCACAGGCCTCTGCCTCCTCACTTTCATGAAACCTGTTCTGTCTATTCTAGAATGAAAAATGCCACCTCTTGGTGGAGCATGAAACCCAGAAGCTGAAGGCCCTGGATGAGAACCATAACCAGAGCCTGAAGGAATGGCGGGACAAGCTTCGGCCCCGCAAAAAGGTACTACATGGGGCCGGTGGGTGGTATCGTGGCTCCGTTCCAGGCTGTACCACAAGCACCTGCCTAGGACATCTTACACATCCTAGGACATGGACACTTGTTTTGTGGCATCCCTAAAATTGGTCTATCCCTGAGGAGGCAAGAGCCTGTCCACCTGTTGTGCTAAACACTGGCAGCTCTCCACACCCCTGGATAACAGCCTCTTCCTGATCTGGTCCATATGCCTGCATTCTGCTGTTCCAATAGACTGCTCCTGCCATGTGTGAGCAGAGGACCTTCCAGAGCAGCAGTCCGTTGTATTGTCAGGCTGGCAGCCCAGCTTGTTGGGAGTTTCTCTCAGGGGAGGTTATCCTCTGAGCTGAAAGGCCAGAACCAGTTAGTTTACTTTCTGAATTAGTTTCCTATTGGGTATAACAAAGTGCTCCAGCTAGGGGTGGAACTCAGTGGAAAAGCACTTGCTTAGCAGGTGTGATGCTCTGGGCTCCATCCCTGCACACTTAGCAGCTTAAGCCAACACCCTTATTATATTGAACTCTCATAGTAATAGGATTCAAAACATGGGCATTCTCTGGGGCATCTGACTAGGGTCTCACAAGGCTGCAGTCAAGCCAGACTGGGCTCTAGGGAAGAAGCCCTTCTGAGCGCATTCAGGCTTTGACAGAACCCAGTTCCTTGTGGCTGCAGGTCTGAAGTTCCTATTTCCTGATGGCTGTTGACCAGGTGCTGTTCTCTACTCTGAAGGCCACTGCAGCTCTGTCTCCAGTAAGCTGGCCCTAAGGCCTTCTGAGGCTGTGGTTCCCTCTGTTACCTGCTTCTGCTGCCATCTGGAAAAGTCTTTTAAAGGGTCCATGTGATTAGACTTGTCTTTAGAGGAATGAGCACATATATTCAGAATTCCACCTACACCCAGATGCACAAGGGGAATGACACAAGACTCCCTGGGTCATTCTTAGATTCTGCCCGCCATACCCCCACACTCAGAATGCACCCTCCTGTCCTGCATTGTCTTTTCCCCCCAGTGCCTAGGAATTGACTGCAGAGCCTCATGCATGTGAGTCAAGCGCTTGTGTCACTCTTCCTGGTCCTTGGTCTGTTCTCCATCTTTGCCATCCATCTTAAGCAGCCTCTACTCCCTGTCTCAATTTCCTCATCTCAGATTTTATTCCTCAGCCTAGCACAGCCTCTCCTGGTAAGGTCAGTAACAATACCCTGGTGGCAAAGTCCCATGGCTTATTTGACTTGACCTCTTGGAGGCAGCCATCATCATCCATCTCTCCCTTCCGGTCCTGTCTCATCTTCCTGGACCCCCTCTGTTGGTTTCTTTGAAATCAGGCAGCATAAGAGACCTCTCTGTGCCTAAGCACTAGTGACATTGCTAGTAATTCCTACAGCAGAGGTCACACACTGGCCTGGGTGGTTTACACACACATTACGTTGGACTAACACAGTGATCTTCAGAATTTTTTTAATTGCCAATCTCAAAGAGAAGGTTTTACACAAACATCTAGGTTTCCAGTTTCTTCTCTGACAATCTGACTATGGAGCCCATGTTCCCCGTGACACTTCCTTTCTAAACTGATGTTTATGTCTGAGTGCCCTTGGGAGTTCTTTCCAGCAGGATCTGTTATGCCTGAATAAACTTAGAAGTGTCCACGAGAAGTTCTGAGGAGCCTATCAGCTAGAAAGCAAATCCTGCTATCTGGGGGAACATAGCCCACTATTTACCTTTAGAACCAGACCTGGGAGCAACAGAGGCACACAACTTTGTGAAAAAAAACTCCCCAGTGGGTTTCTGTGGGACAGTGTCCTGACTAGGAACAGCGTCATGCTGACATGGCAGTCTTCCTTGCTGTTAGATCCTCTCCCCACCTCCTGCTCTGCTTGATTCATCTGGCCAGTCTGCTCCCCTGAGCTCTTAGGTGTTTTCCTGAGCCTAACCATGGGCCTTTGGACAGCTCGTGAAGGGCCTGGCAGAAGGAGGAAGTAGGGGGCTTATCTCAAGGAGGGGAGGAGCCAGACCTTGCCTCCTCTCCCCTGAGGCCTGAACCAGAGCTGTCCAGAGAAGGCCAAGGTGCTTCACGATTGAGACCTGCAGATGGCCCAGGATCTCACTGAACACCATCCGCCCTCTCTCCCCCAGGCCCTGGAAGAGGATTTGAGCCAGAAGAAGAAGGAACAGGAAATGTTCTTCAAACTGAGTGAGGAAGCAGAGCCCGGACCCACCACACCCAACAGAACCACCAAATTCTTTCCCTACAGCTCTGGGGATGCTTCCTAACACCCTGACTCCATCCCTGGCTGTGGTGGGCACCATGGTGATGTGGTCACCAGAGCCTTCTATACTCCAGAAGTGACTCAGGACTGCTTCTCGCTTGCTTCTGTGCCAGTGTGAACCCAGCCCCTTGGCCCGCAGTGTCCCAGCTGTCCATGGAGCTGCCCTGGTGCTTCTCAATTCTTAATCACTCATGGAGAATAAGGTGTCATTGTGTGTCACCTGAGGATAATGGATGTCCTCATTAGGGCCCAGACCCCATCACCTGGAAGTGATTTGGGCTGTGGCCAGGAGGGATTGGGTGTGCCCCTCCTGTTTGCCAAACACCAGCTCTGCTGTCTGTGGGCACAAACACTGCCAGTGATGTCACCAAGCACTCATCCTTACCGTAATCCTTGTGGTTTTCAGCAGCTCCCTGTGGTGTCAGACAACATTCCTCAGCCATTTCAGCTCTCAGCAGCCAGCTGCTCAGAGTACCCTTATGCCCCTGCTTCCCGAAGCTTGCTATATGCTGGTACTGTGTATGTAGGGGTGGGGGTGGGGAAAGGGAGGCAGAAACATTCATTCTGCTGGTTTCCAACATCTCATGCCATCTTGCTTCTCTGTGTGTACATGCGTACACACACATACATGCAACCCCTCCCCCAAACATACACACATGCACATATAGCTTGGTCCCTGGACACTGCACAGACTGCCTCTCCCTCACCGCCTATGCTCAGGTGAATTGGAATCTTCTTGCTGCCTGAGCCTGGGCCACTGAGCATGTCATGGTGGGGACTAGAGCTCAGAGAAGATACTGACTGTACTGCCAGTCTGCAACCCATTTGGCCCCACATAGGAATCTCTATTCAGTGATAAATTCCCCTCCCCACCTGACTTCTGAAGCCCAACATGTACACATCTCACACTTGCTCACCCATTTGTGGACGCCAGAGGAAGGCTCTTGTCCTTTGCCCCAGCCCTATTCAGAAGTCTCGCTGTACATTTCAAACCAAGCCTGGCAGTCACTTGGACTTCTTTTCAGAAAGAAATGATTCCTACCTTCAGGAACATGCAGAAGTGAAGGTGCTGTGCCACCTGTGGGTTCACGGGCCTTTAGGTTGCTCAGTTGGTTTCCCAAGATGCTGAGCTCCACAGGCTGCCAAGCACGTACAACCCAATAAAAGTAGTTGTGCTCCCAGCCTGTGTGCACTTACAAAGTAAACCTTTGTTGACCCTGGTGTAAATGGCTGACTGCTTCAGGAAGATGACTACTTTTTAAAAAGCCATCTCCCTCATTTTTAATCCCAGCACTCAGGAGGCAGAGGCAGGCAGGTCTCTGAGATCAAGACTGGCCTGGTCTACATAGGGAGCTCTAGGCCAGCCCAGGGTTACATAGTGAGGCTATCTCAAAAAAAATAAATAAATAAATAAAAATAAAAATTAAAAAAACACCCCTCACCATGGTGGTGATGATGAGGAAGAGAAGAACTTTAAAGGCAGTTGAGTCTATTGATGGGTGGCTGTGACCCCGGAAGGACTTCACTCCTAAAGTCTACAACCCAATAGGAAAGCAATCCCCTGGAGGTTTTCCCAGGTTGTAACTGGGTTTCTGGGAGAGGGTAGGCTAGAAAAATAGGAAAAGGGGTCTTGGGGCTCCCAGATCTTCAGTGTGCAATCCAGGAACATGCAAGTCCCCAGAGAAGTGGGAGGCCTCTTGCCTTCAGCTCCCGCACTGATGAGTCATGCCTAACAGTTGCCTTCATCGTCTCTGGTGCATGAGGGCTGGGAAACATGAACTGGCAGAGCACACCTGCAGAACCCAGACCCATTCCCCAGAGATGGCAAGTGGATGAGGTCAACATGGGCAGATGGTGATCTAGGGCTGCTTCTGCCATTGTTTACAGTATCTGCTGTTTTACAGTCAGGCACTTGATAATGAGTATTAGGCAAAATGCCAGCGTTGTGGTTCAGGTGAAAGTCTGATCATTCCCTGATTTGTCTTGTCATTCACCCTGTTCTTCATGGGATCCTTCCTTGCTTAGTGCCACCTGAGCCCGAGTAGCTCTGCTCTGCCTTTTTGGGTGGGGTGTGGCCTGGCCTCCCAGCCCCACAATTTAGCTTACCCATCGCCGAGAAGGCCCTTGCAGTATTCCTTGTACCCTGTGCTAATGGACAGGCGGAATTGTTTCTCCTTTTCGGTCCATTTTTAGCAGAGTGAATATAACTAACTTATATTTCCCCTTATGAAGGATAGAAGTTATTTTTATGTAGTTTCCAAACTACATCAAACTTTTGTAAACTGTTCTCTGCAAACAAAAAAATGTAAATATGCTTCTAATAAAATAACAAGGTACCTGCATGTGCAGTTGTTCTTTTTGGTTGGAGTGGGAAAGCAGGCATGCCCAGTTTGCCCAATAAGAGCAATTCCTGGAGTACTTAGGAGCCTTCCTATCAGGCAACAGGTCAGACTTCTGGTTTCTGTTTTAAATTGAGAGAGAAAGAGAGAAGCCACGTTATTTCCAGCCATTCCATACCACTCAAATTTAACAACAAACATTCATTGTCCTCCGAGAGTTTTCAGATGTTAGCAGATGATTCCTCTCATTCCCAGTTTACAGATGGGGAAGTAGACCCTGGGCAAAGCCAAGGTCAGATTATCTCGGGATACTGGTGACACCTGTAGGATTCAAACCCTGGAGCTTGTTTCCCCAATGCATCGCCCTCCCACTGCCGATTAAATCAATCAAAAGTCACCTGACCTTGTGCCATCTCTGCCATATTTTAAAAGAATTTATTGGGGCTGGGGATTTAGCTCAGTGGTAGAACATTTCCTGGCATGGGCCAGGATGGGTTCCATCTCTAATTCTGGAGAGGAAATATAAATGCCAGATCTCTCAAATACTCTTCAGGGATTTTTAACTTAGTATCCACAGGTAGAACTCAGGGCATCTTTGCATTTGGTTGTCAAAAGACGTGGTCTTTAGTTATCCTGATTTCAAACTAAAATTAAGTATCTTTTCTTCCTGGAGATGGGCACCAACCTCCAGAATTAATAGCGTGGCTTTCTCCAGCAGAAATCATGGGAGTTTAATACTGCACCATTTTTTGTTTTGTTGTTTTGAGATGGCCTCCTTGTAGTCCTAGCTGGTGGGGAACTTGCTATGTAGACCCAGCTGGCCTAGATTTCAAAGAGATTCACCTGCCTCTGCTTCCCAGTGCTGGAATTAAAGGCGTGCATCACTATATCTGGCCATCCTTCAGCATTCTGTTCATCATTTTTAAATTAGAAAAATTAGTCTTGTATTGCTAGATCTTCAGGGTGTATATAAACCGCATTCTTCATGTCATATGTAAACAGTATGTCTATAGTTTGTCCAAATTTTTGATACCTGTTTATCACTATGATTGGTTTCATCTGTACCTTATATTACACATTTAAAAATATTTAAAATATTCTTTGTGGAATACCAAAGGAGTCCATGGAACAAAATAATGAAGCACCCCTTCTAAATAGTACTGTGTGTGTCTGTCCTAGAAAGCTTGTGACCAGGAGAGGGCAGGCTGCATCATGGTGTCACACTGGCCTCTGGCCTCTTGTTGTTGGTATGGACAAGACATTGACCACTTACTCTCTAGGGGATACAAATGAGTAAGCAGCTGGCATGCTTGCCATTATGGGCTAGAGAAATGACTGAGGTTCCAAGAATTCAGGAGATGCAAAAAAGCCCCAATGCATTAAAGGAGAACTTGGGAAATGAGGTCATCCTGTGTTAATTGAGCTCTCTTAAGTGCCCAGTGCTGGAGATGCTAGAATGAGCAATGCACTGACATAGTCTTCAACATGTTCCCTCAATGGAGAAACAGACCTAGGAAAGCAGAGCATCAGTTCAGGCTGACACTGCCTGTGAGAAGCGGGGAACACTCCCCACAGGGAACCTCACTGTCTTAGAGGACCAGTATGTTCCAGAATGAATGCACTGAGAGACTGGCCATGAGTCTAGAGAGAGGGACAAACAAGAATGCCAGGCTAGGGGCTGAAGAAATGGCTCAGAGGTTAAGAGCACTGGCTATATGTAAACAGCATTTCTACAGTTTGTCCAAATTTTTGATACCTGTTTATCATTATGATTGGTCTCATCTGTAATCCATGTACCTTATATTGTGCATTTAAAATTATTTAAAATATTCTTTGTGGAATACCAAAGGAGTCCATGGAACAAAATAATGAAGCACCCCTTCTACCTAGCACTGAGTGTGTCTTGTGGAGGACTCCAGTTTGGTTCCCAGCAATCACATGGCAGCTAACAACGTCCAGGAGATCTGACACCCTCCTCTGACCTCTGCAGGCATTGTACAGCATAGGTGCACTTATATACATGCAGGCAATACACTCATACACATAATAAATAGATTTTGAAAACAATGCTAGGCTAAGATGGCTTTCCCCGAAGAGCTGCAAGAAGCACTGGAAAGAACTGGTTGAGAAGGACAGAGACACTGTTGGGCGGGGGGGTGGGGTGGGACATTGGCTCATAAAGGTTTGAGATGCTAGAAGGAAAGGGAAGACTGCAGGTGCCTTGAGGGTAGTGAGTGAGGCTTTTCTAAAAAAGCAGAGTCTCACAAGCTGTAGGAAGAGGTTCCTAGTCTCAATTCTGTGGTACCAGACATGGTCACTAGACCTGGTTATCAAGGATATCTAGTTAGCAGCAAAACAGAGACCCTCCATGTCCACTGAGTACAGATAAGGTCCTTCAAGCCAGTTGTTTCACTGAGCACAATTAGAAAGGCTGGGCAGGAGGCTCGAGAGATGGCTTAGCAGATAAGAGTGCTTGCTGCTCTTGCAGAAGACCCGAGTTTGCTTCCCAGCATCCGTATCAGACAGCTCACAACCATTTACAACTCCAGCTCTAGGGGATTTGATGCCCTCTTCTGGCTTCTATGGGCACACACATGCACTTCCACATATACATACATAGACACACACATGCACATAAATAGACAGTGAAGGACAGTCAGGCCAAGAGTCAAGTAAGGATAGAGGCCCTGCTTGCATTCCCAAGCCCAGATGGAGCTTTTGACAGGTCTCCAGAGCTACAAGTGCAGGGACATTAGCCCAGGGGCTGCTATGGGAACAGCAGAAGAGATCTAGACAAAACCATTCCCCTTGAGCTCAGGCCTCAGAGGCTGTCAGGAACAGGCTAGGGCTGGGCTTAGAAATGAGTAGGAAAGCCCTTGCCCAACACTCTGAGTTCCATCCCCAGCACACACACCCCTACAAAAAGAGAAGAGGGGAGGGGGGATGAGGAGAAATAAAGGGAGGGGACTACAGGGAAGAAGGAAAGAGGAAGCATCAGTGGGGCTCTAGATACTGGAGCAATCAGTCTAGCTCTGACAGTCACTGTGCTTGCTGTGTTCAAGGAGACAGAAGATGGTCTGAAAACTCCAGCAGAGAGCTGAAACCAAGTGTTAACTTGTGTTCATTTCTGTGTATGAGTGTTTTCCCTGCATGTATATATGTGCACCATGTGTATGCAGTGCCTGCAGAGGCCAGAAGAGGGCATTGGATCCCCTGAAACTGGAGTTACTGATGGTTTTGAAAGAGCAGCCAGTGTTCTTAGTCACCAAGGCATCTCTCCAGCCCCAAGGTTTTGTGTGTTTGTTTTAGACAGGATCTCACTTTATAGCCCTGGATGGCCTAGAACTCCCTATGTAGACCAGGCCAGCCTCCAACTCAGAGATCTGCCTGCCTCTGCCTCTGGAGTACTGGGACTACAGGCATGCACCACCACATCTGCCCTGAAACCAAAAATGTTTAAAAGAACCAAGTACTATAAGATTTGATAGCATTAATAGTCAAATTTTGTAGCCAAATTTTACCTTCCTATTTAAAACTTTTTCACCCAGTTCAAGCTCGTGCTATGCTTAGAAGCTTGTCGTGTAAAAGGAAAAACAAGGGCCGGGGTATGGCTCAGTGTCCGAATGCTGTGCTATCATGTAGGAGGCCCTGAGCTCCATCCTAGCACTGAATGTTTTTGAAAGGAAAGCATAATTGGGCAATATTCACTGAATGCACCACTGGACCCCCATCTCCTGGTCCCCCGTAGTCACTAGGCACAACAAGTTGTGACTCCGTCTGCCCAGTGGCATGTGACCGCCCCACCTGTGCTGACACACACTGAAGAGCAAATGGCTAGAGTCTTCCCTTTCCACTAAGCAATGGAGGAAGGAAGAGGCTGTGTCCCAAGACACTGCAGAATGAGACAACAGATCTTCAGCAAGCCTGGTTCCCTTGACCTCGACAAGCACAGCCCCCTGCAGTCATGAGGCCTGAGCAAAACATGAACTTCAAGCTGCCAAGGACTTGGGTTCCTCGCTGCTGCAGTGTGCCCCAGGTGGTCACAGGAAGTCTACATCTTCATACTCCTCCCCACTCACCAGGCTGCGTTTGACCCCTCTGCAGTTGGATTGGCGGTGTGAAGAGGCAGTCAAGGAGGGAAGGGAAGTAAGGCGCCAGTGACAGATGCAGTGGGTGCTCCTCCAGACTCCCCCACTCAAGGCGCAGGGGATTGAACCCACGGCCTTGTGTATACACTCTGCTCCTGAGCTGCCCACCCCCACCCACCCACCCACATTTCCTTTTGTGGTTTGCACCACCCAAGTTTTCCTGGCTTTTGCTTCAGCAGTCCACACCTGAGCCTTTCTTCAAAGGTCTGCTCTTAGACTACTAAGGCCTGTTTGCCACAGTCACCAAGAGGCAGAGTGCCTGGGAACTAATAACTACCCACTCTGAGATGGGTCTTGGCCAGGAACTGAGCAGAGTGGGAGTATAAAAGGCCAGCTCCCTTGCAACAAGTCAAGACAAACTCTGAGGCGTGGTTTACACTCCAAAGTGCGCTGTGAAATCAGTCTTCAGCTCCCCCTTTGGGTTTCACCTGAGCTCCTGCCCTCCTGAGAACCTTCACTCCCTCGGCCTCTCCCTCTCCGGCTTCTTTTCCTTTCCCATTTTCTCCTGTGCCCTTCATGAATTACCTGCACACAGCTTCTCACATAGCTGTGAGAAGCACTCTGCTTTTGAAGAGCTGCTGAAGACGTGCGCCCAAGAAATGGATTCTGAGGGTGAGATTTTGGAGCATTCTGAGTATGTGGCTAAGCAGCAGTAGGACCCTGTCACTGATGGTAAGTGGGGTGTCATCTCTGCCTGACCGCTGTAGCAAGGGCTCAAGTGCCTTGTGGTAAATCTGAGTTGGATCCAGCTGGAAGGAGCTGCCATGGCTTATGTAAACAGAGGAACCACTGATTTAAAGGACTTCAGAGTTAGTTCATTGTTGCTAGATAGTATTGCTGGTTGTTGTTGTTTGT